AGATAACACGTTTTTCTGCGACAGAAAAAAGTCTTCATAAACAATGTGTACAAGAATGTAAACAGTAAAGTGTGGAGATTGTATAAGAAGAATTGTTGTGTTGTTATTCTTAACTGGTATCTCTAAGCAGTGGCAGAAGTCTTTAAGTTTGATTGCTATATTGTTCTAGTTTGGTAGAGTCGTATTTGGTTATTCTTAGTAGATAGTACAATTAGGCCCGAAACCCATACTAAAGCGAATTATTGCTCTCAATTGATATCTTATCTTACAATCTTATAATGGTCAATAAAGGTTAGAGCATTTTAGAGATAAAAAAAATGTTGGTGTAATATCAATGTTTAAGAAGTTGTACGTTTGAGCCGGCAAAGTTTAAGCCATGAACAAACCTACCCTTGATCGATCGAGGACTCCGGCAAAAAGTTTAGATCAGATGACTGTTTATTCTAACTTTTTTAAATTTATTACGTAGTATGTGTTAGTATTCATTCATTTCAATTTCAATTAATTTAGGATACGATTCAATAATTATGGTTTATTAACAGTAAGTTTAAGATTCAATTATAAAATTACTTTATTGTATTCATATTCAATCATTATGGTTTTCTTTACAACTACGGAGTATTAATGATCTTACAATCTTATAATGGTCAATAAAGGTTAGAGCATTTTAGAGATAAAAAAAATGTTGGTGTAATATCAATGTTTAAGAAGTTGTACGTTTGAGCCGGCAAAGTTTAAGCCATGAACAAACCCTTGATCGATCGAGGACTCCGGCAAAAAGTTTAGATCAGATGACTGTTTATTCTAACTTTTTTAAATTTATTACGTAGTATGTGTTAGTATTCATTCATTTCAATTTCAATTAATTTAGGATACGATTCAATAATTATGGTTTATTAACAGTAAGTTTAAGATTCAATTATAAAATTACTTTATTGTATTCATATTCAATCATTATGGTTTTCTTTACAACTACGGAGTATTAATGAACCAGAATAATTGTTAAACTTTTTGTTAACAATATATGCTTATGAATGTACTATGTCACCCTAAAAAAATGTAGTATTAGAGATGACAATTATGACCGAACCGATGGATACTCGCACTGAACCGCTCCGGTCAAAACGGGGAAAACCGCATTGACCGGGTAACGGGTACGGGGCGGGAAATACCCGTTTTGTTTTTATGGGTAATGGGGCGGTTACGGTTTTATACTTGTCCGCCCCATACCCGTCCCATTTATTTTTAGTTATGTTTTTATTACATGTTTATTTATTATTTGTCCCACAACTATTAAAAGATGAGATTTTTCTCTTTCCATTATGTATATATAGATTATAGATGTACTAACTATAATGTATGAATGAAAGTTCTTACTAGATCTTAATAATCTTGTTTGATTATTATCATATATTTTTCGTGATTAATTATTTTTTAGAATAAGTATTTTTGTAGGTCAAATTAATTTAAGTTGCTTCCTTTTTCGTCTTGTAGATATACGAATCTTTAAAGTGGCGTCTGAAGTCTAGAGTCGTCTAGGCAATGCCATATTTCGCCTTTTAAAATATTATTTTCATATCAAAAAATTAATGACTCATTTAATAAAGCGGTTACTCGCGGTTACCCAAAATTTTACCCGTTACCCGTTGGGGCGGTTATGGTTTGAATGAAAATTACCCCTTGGGTAATGGAGCGGTTACGGGGTGGGAAAATTATTTAATGGGGCGGGTACGATTATATGCAAAACCGTCCCCAATCCCCGTTGCCATCCCTATGTAGTATAAGGTAAATCACTTTACATCATGATTTCTAGGAGTGAGCAAAAGTACCGAACAAGCGTAGTACCGAACCAGTTGAATATGATACAAGACCGATAAATGGAGTTTGAAATGGATCACAAATTTTTTTGTCCCGTACCGGTTCCGAACAATGCCATGACGGGTTCTCATAAAATGAGAACCGGTACCGAATAAAACCTTGATTGAAGTATGGTTTAATCATTAAATTTGTACTACTATAGTTTATCTGAAATTTATTACGAGTAATTACTCCATCCAGCCCAAGTTGATTAACAAAGTCAACATTATTGGTCAACCAATATTAATGTTATGTCCTCCTATTAATAATTAATACCTTTGTTAATGATTAAAACTTTCATATTTAGAAAACACATCAAAATCTCTTTAAAATTGAAAATTCCAAATTAGAATATACTTTTTTTACAGGCCCATTTAGAATATTATTAAATATATAGTGATATCCTAATTAAGTGAATAAAAAGAAACTATTTTACCGTTAATAATAAAAGAAACTATTTTACCAAAAAAAGTTGACTTGCAAATCAATTTGGGATGGAGGATGGCCAAACTTTAATTTTCCCTTGAACACTTGGAAAAAGTAGCATTGTTTGATATTGGTATGACATGATACCGTCTCATTTGAAGATGGAATCGTACCGGCCGGGTTTAGCTCTAAGACCGAGAACCGAACCAGACCGTTTCAATAGTCACGGTACAAGTACGGGTTCAACAAAATATTGAACCAGACCGGACTGTGCTCACCCCTAGTGATTTTAGAATCACATGGTGTTCAAAATAGTTACTTTAAAATGTTTATGATTACTAAATATTGTTTTCATTCTTAAGAGTGATGTACAGAGCGTGATTCAAGTAATGGTAATATGGAAGTTCTTCATTTCCATCATTTTAAGGTAAATGAATGACCAAATATGTTTTCGGGGGTGAATAAACAATATTGAGTTTTGGTCACTTTTGATTCCTTGACTACTGTATCAGTGACACTTTTGATATTTGACTTCAATTTTTTCATTTTTAGTTCTCAATTATTGTGCGAGAGAAAATTTTCGTCCACTTCAAAATTTATCAAATTCAATCCCCCGTGTATTAGCAAATTAACATTTTTAATTCTTCCACTATTATTTTGACACAATAAGTGGAAGACTAAAATGACACTATTATAATAGTTGAAGAACCAAAAATGTATTTTTTATGAAAGTTAAGGGACTAATTTAAATGCGAAAAATTTCAAACACGGGTATCAAAAATGTCTTTGACATAATGGTCGAAGGACAAAAAGCGGGAAAACTCAAAAATAAGTATCAAAAATATCAGTTCCATAATAGTTAGAGGACTAAAAATGGGAGAAACTTAAAACATTTAGCATAACCATTAAGCTATTAAAGAAAGAGTGAACTCCCGAGATTGAAGATGGAGCAGAGTGTAGAAAATTGGGATACGAGGTGCAAGTTTTCTTCCAATGTGATTGTATACATATCATTGGTTATTTCACTTATTTGTATTAGATCGTATGATTTTGTCTGAAGAATAATATGTAAATTAAATAAATTAAAGTTTAATGACACGAGAGAAATATCAGTGACTGCGGTAGTACAATTGGGAATTATAAAACCTCAGGATATTATGTGGTACTAAAGTTTTTATATGATATCTCTAAATAGTTATACTGGACATTTTCCGAGATATAAAACATTGTGATATGAAGTAATGTTATATCGATATACTCCAAACAAACATATATAAAACATATAAGCAAACACGGTTAATATTATGCAACCCATAATTATATTAGGCATTTTTTTATCGCGCAACACGCGTCGAAGAATTAGTACAAGTATATACTCCGTACTACGTACAACCTACTCGTAATAGATTACTCAATTATATTAGTCAATTCTCAACGACTCAACCAATAATTTAGCCCGAGTATTTTGATTTAAACAAAAGGGATGATACCCCATCATTCTCTATCTGGTAGATAAAGAGTGAGGCTCTGACCCTGTTACTTACAGAGACTCTATGTATTTTAGGGTAGTAATCTCTCATTGCAGTTGTTGGGATTCGAATCCGAGACTTACCTCTTATTGCACCACCTATCTAGCTACCAGTTGAGCTACGCGCTTGAACGATATACGATGCGAAGGACGAACACTACTTATGCAGGTGCACTTGTACTCTAATAGAGCTGCAGGAATTTACATTAATTATTCTAATACTCCGTATTAGTCTTTTCATTACACACATCTCCTTAAGAATACGTTTAACTCATGCATGGGGGATAAATTAATTACTAATTTATCAAAGATTTGAAGGTTATTTGAGTGTAAATTGTCTAAATATTGATTACGGCGGTTCAAGAGAGAGGAACCGACCATTGATACCTTCACTCGAAGATTGAATGCCTACGTCACACAAAAGAATTCGCAATCAATATTTTTTCTTCTACCATTGATAACCGGAACCGGTAGTTTAGTAGTTTGAGTGGTGAGAAAATTCGCAGCGATTGTAGGGTGATTACAGCTCTTGCGTGCATGGCTAGACTTCTAGTGCACACGGTAACAAGTTTATCATCATTAAGCTAACTGATTCACCATAACTTAATCAACTCAAATGCCTTGTTGGATCGGGGCGTGAGAATCCTTAGAATTGAGGATTCAAGTATTCAACCCGTTGGAACACATCATCTACCATTGATAAACGAACACAACTACACAAGTTTGCTCTAATATGGAATTCAAAATTTATGACATTTTTGATACCTTGAATGGTCAATTAATAACTTTAATTGCAGAGATTTATGATGGACACTTGAGTACCTTACCTATCTGTTGGATCATAGAGATGAATTAAAAACGTTTGGAATAATTCCCTCTTTAGAAATTTAACGTAGACGTCCAATTAATTACTCCGTATTTAATTACGAAGAACAATAAATGAAGAAGTAATAAAATTAATAAACGTACGGACGATGGCAAACCCCAGGAAGCCGAAACCGACGTTCGAACAACCACGGTCAGCGCGTTTTCTTATCTTTGCCAAAGCCTACACCACGTCAGCAAAAGAGTCCAGCCTGGCAAAAGACTGTCCCCACCACCATGCATCCACGCGGACGGATTGATGCTGACATGTCATCCCATTTCCACTTGCTCCCTCCTATAAAATCGTGCCCTGCTCTCAATCCTTCAAACAGTTTCCCTCATCAATTTCTTCTTCTTCACCCTTTCAATTTCTCATCAATTTCACCATGGCTGGAAATTACTTTATTACCCTTCCCGCCACCCTCCTCCTCTGCCTCTTCGCCGCCGGGCTGCATACGTCATCCGCCCGCCTGGTTCAGGAGCCGCCCACCGTTTTGAATTACCACAACGGCGTCCTTCTGAAGGGCACCGTCACCGTTAATCTCATCTGGTACGGGAAATTTTCTCCGGCGCAGCGGTCTACAATCGTCGATTTCCTCACGTCCTTGAATTCGTGGAAGTCCAATTCCCCTTCCGCCGCGTCTTGGTGGAAGATCACCGGCAAATACGGAGGCGGCGGCTCCTCAAATATTGCCGTCGGGAAACAAATCTTCGACGAAAATTGCTCGCAGGGGAAGTCGATTAAAAACGACCAGCTCCCTTACATAGCTTCCTGGGGCGGGAACTCCACCGGAACCGTTAACCTTGTGCTGACGGCGACGGACGTTTACGTCGACGGTTTCTGTTCGAACCGGTGCGGGACCCACGGGTCGTCTGCCGGGAAATCTCGGGCGGTATACGCATGGGTGGGCAACTCGGAGAGCCAGTGCCCGGGTTATTGCGCCTGGCCGTTCCATCAGCCGATTTACGGGCCGCAATCGCCGCCGCTCATTCCACCGAACGGAGACGTCGGAGTTGACGGGATGATCATCAGCTTAGCCACCGTTTTGGCCGGAGCTGTGACGAATCCGTACAAAAACGGCTATTTCGAGGGGGTCGCCGCGATGCCGCTGGAGGCGGTGTCCGCCTGCACGGGGATTTTCGGGTCGGGCGCTTACTCGGGTTACCCGGGGCAGGTTTTGGTGGATAAATCCACGGGCGCGAGCTTCAATGCGTATGGAGTGAACGGGAGAAAGTTCCTGATACCGGCGATGTGGGACCCCCAAAGTTCTACCTGCTCTCCCCCGGTATGATTCACCCGGTTAGGTGTGTGGGGCCAGCTCGCTTGGGCATTTACCACAGTAAAAAATGTTTCATTAGTGATGAACAGATGAAATGCAAAAAACACCACGCAAATTCCAAACGCTTGATTAGTTAATTTGTCAGTTTATGATTTTTTTTCTCTTCTTTTTTACTAGGGATAAGGGTCAGATAGGGCCTCGAACTTGGAAAAAAATGTCAAATAAGGTCATATTTAGGATGTTATGTCCGGCTGACACCATTTGGGGCGGTTCCCGGTGGAATTTTTTGATGAAATTTTTTGAGAATCTTATTCATTAAGTCTAGTTTACTCATATCAAATTTGAACTAACAATTCAATCGGGAAAGCATTCAAATGAATTTTTGAAGATAACTGTGCTTTTAACTGCACAGTTATCTTCAAGAATTCATTTGAATGCCTTCCCGATTGAAGTTTTAGTTCAAATTTGATATGAGTAAACTAGACTTAATTAATAAGATTCTCAAAAAAATTCATCAAAAAATTCCACCGGGAACTGCCCCAAATGGCGTCGGCCGGACAGAGCATCCTAAATATGGCCTTATTTGACATTTTTTTTCAAGTTCGAGGCCCTATCTGACCCTTATCCCTTTTTACTACGTATGATTTAGCTAACGTGATCCTCTTGTTGCCTGAACAATGTAATGAATAGAATATACAGTACGAAATATTTAAATATATATAAATATTGAAAATAGAAATAAATATCCCTTTCACTGAGAGTGAAGTTGGTTTCTACGTACTTACTAACCAATATTTTAAAATTCCCAGTCTACCAGATTTATCTTGTTTGGGATGGAGCTTATCATTGCATTATTGTGTGGTCCCGGGCGATTGCTCCTGGGTTGCCATGTCATGATTTATAGGTACAAACAAATTATACTACGTATTTTGTAAAAACAAAAATTATTCTTTGTAGTTTACATCATGTGGAGTAAAATCAATCATTAGTACGTGGAAAGAAGAAAATTAGTCTCACTATAATTATTTCATTCTTTCTTTTGTCTTACTAAAATCGTTTTACATCAAACTATCTCCGTTTTTAAATAAATGCAACATATGAAATTTTACACTATTCACACGTTCTACTTTAACTATGTTTTATTTATTAATGTATGAATATAATTTTATAGAAAAAATATTGTTAAATTTGCCTCATTATAAATTTTCAATATCTAATTTTTTTTAGTTTTTTTACTAATATAAATTTATATATATTAATAGTCAAAGTTGTGTCTCGTCAAGTGTGAAATGTTGTCCGTTGCATTTATTTAAGAACGGATGAAGTATTTAGTAATAGTTGTATGGTTTAAATTGATTCTTAATTTATTTTCACTTTATTAATTCATTATCAACTATATAATTTCACTTTCTTCCGTCTCAATGTTAGATGACTAAGGTAGTAAGTAATTTGAATTTGTGGAACACAAGAATATGTGAGGATTAAAAATGGTTAACTTGTTTAATAATCGAGGTATTATGGGTAGAGATCAGAGGACTAATCATGGAGAAGATGAAACCGACTCTTCCCAATTTGCTCTATACGGAGTATGTATTTGACGGTATATCATGATCAGGTATACAGTGACTCACTCATGATTCATGAATAAGTGCTTGCTACTCTTCTAGAATGCCACTAGTTTAATTAAGGAGTGTTTGGGGTTGCTTAAAAAACACTTTTCAGCTTTTTGCTTAAAAAAAGTTGAAAAGAGTGTTTTCAAATGACAGCTTCTGCTTAAATTAATCACTTAAAAGCTAAAAGCTGAAAGCAGGTAGAAGAGTGCTTTAAACTGCTTCTCACTTTTTTCTATTACACAAAAAGTACTTATTTTACCAAACACTACTAACTTTTACTTTTTCAGAATCACTTTTTTCTCAAACACTACCAACTTTTACTATTAATCACTTTTCCCAAAATCACTTTAAAAAATCATTTTTTTAAAGTTGAAACAATTGCAAACACTCTCTTACTATGAGCCCGTTTGGTAGCACCAAAATCGCCTGTTTTGGCTGATTCAGCTGAAATTTATGATATTCTGTCTGGAGTGGCTGTTTTGGCTGATTCTGCTGATTTAAGAAAAAAATATTTTAAAAATATATTTTATTAATAAATTAAAGAAAAAATTATATGTAAAAATAGCTAAAATGGTCCTCTACAGTAACTTCAGCCAATACAGCCAGAAAAGTAACTCCAACCTTACTTTTTCGGCTTATTACACAATTCAGCGCGCGAAAGTAAAAGTTACGTGTTTGGTGAAAAAGCTGGCTGATAAGCCTGATAAGCCGAAAACAGAGTTCTCCAAACGGGCTCTATATTTAAGACGGAGCATGTAATTATGAAGATGTTAGTGTTACCAATGGTAAAAAAAAGGGAAAAGGGGCAAATAAGCCCTCGAACTACTCAAAAAAGTGCAAATAAGCCCTTTTGTAGGAGGTTTCGTTTGTCTATCGTCATTTGGGGAGGTTCCCGGTGGAATTATTTGATGAAATTTTTTGAGCATCTTATTCAATAAGTCTAGTTTAGTCATACCAAATTTCAACTAAAAAATCAATCGGGAAGATAGTCAAATGAATTTTTGAAGATAACTGCGCAGTTAAACAACGCAGTGTAGTTCCGAAAGTCATTTGAGTGCCTTCCCGGTTGAATTTTTAGCTGAAATTTGGTATGGATAAACTAGACTTAATGAAGAAGATGCTCAAAAAAATTCATCAAAAAATTTCACCGAGAACCTCCCCAAATGACGATGATCGGACAGAACCTCCTACAAAAGGGCTTATATGCACTTTTTTTATTAGTTCGAGGGCTTATTTGCCCCTTTTCCCTAAAAAAAAACCACATATCGATGTGGTCCCAGATGACTCGTATATTCCCAAAGTTTGAGGTGGATACATGGAAGGTCCAAATAATTGAGTTAGACTGAAGTAAAAAAGTAAGTATATTAGACTTGTGACATAATTATAAAAGTTATCAATTCTAAAAGTTTAAAGGAGTGTTTGGATTTGCTTAAAAAAAGCGTTTTTCAGCTTTTGGCTTAAAAAAGTTGAATAGAGTGTTTTCAAATGACAGCTTCTGCTTTAATTAATCACTTAAAAGTTAAAAGCTGGAAGCAGATAGAAGAGTGCTTTAAACTGCTTCTCACTTTTTCTATTACACAAAAAGTACTTATTTTACCAAACACTACCAATTTTTACTTTTCTAGAATCACTTTTTTCTCAAACACTATCAACTTTTACTATTAATCACTTTTCCCAAAATCACTTTAAAAAATCATTTTTTTAAAGTTGAAGCAATTAGTTTAAAAAAACGTTCATTGGATGTGGCAACAGGAAAGCTCGTTACATTTGATTGCGAATGTTGCGGTGACATTAAAAATTGATTTTGGACCAATGCTCTTGGTAAAATAAATAGGTAATGAATAGCAAATATGTAGGATTGCTTTGGCAAAAAAAAAACATACTACTCGACATGATATACTACGGAGTAAGTAATTAAAGGGGCATTTGGGAAATCATATTTCAAACAAAAAGTAGTGGTTTGATCATTTTTTGGTGTTTTCAATCAGTGCAAATGTTGATCATTGTTGTTTAGTATATAGCTGTTCGACTATAGCAATTTTGTTGGAATTGGTGAAATAAAATCACTGCAAAAAGTAGCAATGTGAGTTAGCGTTTTGAGGACCTTACCTAATAACCGATACGGCCAATTATTAAATCACTAAATTTATTTTTGCAACCTGTCATCTCATTATGTTACTTATTCCCGCCTCTTTTATTTTCTCTTTTCTTTATACATAACATGTTGGTGATTTTAGTGTCACCGTTCATTTTGTGTAATTGGAAATGACATGAGTGCCAATCTGAATTAGAACTATGATCTAGTACAAGATAGTAGGTGTGGAGTGCACACTTGTATATAAGAACTAATTTAATTCCAAATTGTCTACATTAGTGGAACTCGAAGTAGAACTCGAGGTATACCTTTCAGTAGACTAGCTCTGTGGTTCTAGACCGAGTTCTAGAACGTTTGGGCAGTTTCCAGCAATTTCCAAAAACTGCTGCGGTTTCTCAAACGTGTTGCAACTGCCTTGGACGGTTAATATGGATGTATACCACCATATTTCATACAGAGGAAGAGTAGGAATCATATCCAACGAATCTTCATCACTTTTGGCATTCAAATTAAGATAACAATCCATATACTCAACTAGTTTGACTCTAATTCTTGTGCCTAAGTTCTAGAGCGTCCTTAAGAATTATCCTAGATTGAATTTCTTGTAACCCAAACATAGGGGAGAAATATCAATTCGGAAAGTGAACGTACACGATCCTTAAGCAATCCAAGTACTCGATTATCACCCCCTACGTGATACCCTAACAATCGAATTGAAATTTTCTTTGTGATAATCATGAGTACCGTGGAAGAGATGACTTCGAGGTTCAACAAATTGGACAAGTTTCAAGGGAATGATTTCTGTAGATGGCAGAAGAAGATGCACTTTCTTCTCACCACTTTGAAGGTTGTGTACGTGTTGAGCACTCCAATGCCGGACGTGATGGAGGATGCGACTTTGGAACAAACTAGGAGGCGTAACAAGTGGGAGAACGATGACTACATATGTAGAGGCCACATTCTTAACGGTATGTCCGATGCGTTATTTGATATTTACCAAAATGTTGAGAGTGCGAAGGAATTGTGGAATTCTATTGAGTCAAAATACATCGCCGAGGATGCTTCTAGTAAGAAGTTCTTGGTGAGTGATTTTAATTTAATAATTATAAAATGGTTGACTCAAGGCCGGGTATGGAACAATACAATGAACTCCTTCGTGTTCTTAGTCAATTTAAACTCCACAAGATAGGTGTTGATGAATCCTATGTCATATCGAGTATAATTGACAAACTACCATCCTCTTGGAAAGATTTTAAACGTTCTTTAAAACATCAAGATGAGGAATTGTCATTGGTTCAACTGGGAGTCACTTGCGCATTGAGGAGTCTCTTCGTGTGCAAGAGAATGACCAAAATATGGTTGAAGTTGAATATGGACAACCTCGTGTTCACTTGGTTGAGGATAATAAATCTAACCCGAAAGATAAGGGGAAAGGTAAAAAGCGCAAGTATGAAGACCATGACAAACCCAACAAGAAACCGAAAGGTTTGGTTTGTTAGAAGTGTCAAAAGGTTGGACATGTCAAGCGTGATTGTCGTGTGAAACTGAACAAGGATGGTGCTGGAACGAGTGACAGTGGAGCAATCACCCGAAAGCATGGGATTCCACTTGAATTTCTTTCCGATGGTCCTATCCTATTTCCAAACCCTTTCAAACAGTAAGGACCTGGTTCCACGGAAAGGAGGTCAGTTCCTGACTAACTTTGATAATTCTGTCCAGAATTATGTATCACTCATTCCCGAATCTTTTTATGTACAGGATGATGACTGTGCATGGTGGTTGGACTTGGGGGCCACGAGCCATGTGTGTAAGGATAAAGGATGATTTGAAGACCTAGAACCAGTGGAGGTCATTCCCTTCTTAAGCATGGGAGACGAGTCAATGGCTCCAATCTTGGGAAAGGGTGTAGCTGTTTTAGAATTTACTTCTGGAAAAACAATTACGTTGTTTCATGTTTTGTATGTACCGAAGGTCCGAAAGAATCTTGTTTCGGGAAGTATGTTGAATAATTTAGGGTTCAAATAAGTGATTGAATCCGATAAATATATTCTGTCCAAG